ACACACACACTAAAATTATGCTCTCTTTCATGTTTTGGCTTTCCACCCTGTGCCCACTTCTCCCTCCTCACATCACACATCACACACACACACACACACACACAGACATACTCCCACGCCCTCCCCCCTCAATGGCACAAACACCAATTCATGTGAAATTATGACCTGGAAATCAAACAAAAGCCGTTTCGGGTTTTTACAAAGAAATCATATTTGAACCACTGGTTCCCCTTCCAGTGCACTTCGTAAAACTTGGTAAACTGATGGTTTTCAGACTGTTTGGCAAAGCAAACCAATCAGCTGTGTCTCTATTGAACTGAGGTTTGATGGTTCCCTATAAATAAATTTTACAGAAACAACAATCTACCGGATAGGAAATGTGTTATTAGGGCTTCTTTTTTTCCCTCCCCATGTAGGAAGGTGGGCCTGCAAAGGTATGCAGGAGGATTCTACTGTCTTCTCATTTCAGGCTGGTCAAGAGCAAACAACAAATTTGAAGAATCTCTGTCTGATGTGAGACAAATACCTGTGAATTAAAATTAACAAAAAGGCCCCTTGCCACCACCACCCCCACACACACATTTCACTCCATCTTCCACACCCATTTGTTCAACACATATTTATTGGGTGCCTACTATGTGTTAGGTATATATTTTTCCATTACTACAGATGCTATTTATTATTCAAATCATATTCCACAGTATCTATCCTTTCATAGCAAAGGAAAATATTTATTTATAATAAAGTGGAACCATCTGGCTATTTTGGTCGACCAGGCCCAAATGTTTGTTTCTAAAGATAGGTCTTAAACTCCTTTGAAAATCAATAACCATTTCAAGGCCTTGCATTCTGCACCTGACCTCTTTTGCTACAGGAAGTACTGGATTAAGTCCAGCCCTTTCACTAGCAGCTTAGGAAGAACAATGAAATTGAAAGACAAGGGATGGATTTGGGGGCAGCATAAAAAAGTCAAGAAGAAGGGCTAATTAATGGCATTACCAGCACGATGGCTGAGGAGGCCACAGTGCATACTGTGGGGCTTCTTAGGAAGGAAGGTATATAGTGTGAGGTGATTGAGCCCTAAATCTGGATTAGAATGACATCTGGTTGACAGCCACTAATTTAGCCATTCTCAACTTCCTACCATAATAAAAAAAACTGGGGCTGAGAAAAAGAGGAAACTCACAACACAAAAAACTAAGACTGACATCATCTCCTGTCAGGATCTGGAAGGAATCTCACTTCCTATAAAGTAGATAGAACTGGATGGAGAAAATCTTTCCTCTAGTCTATATTAACCAGCAAACCGAGCAGCCCACCCTCTCTTCCAGGATATTGCTTTTCCGAGATATCCAGAGTACTGTTCTCCACCCATCCTTCATTTCTTCTCCATTCAATCAGAAAGAACAGTGTCCAGAAAACCGTACTGCTAGAGAATAAAGCAAATAGAAATTATTCCATGTCACTGCCTTTTTTGTTTGTTTGTTTAGGTGTTAGCAAGCTGGGGATATAAAAGTCAGAAGTGGCCTGTGAGATGACCAGGAAGCCCAACCTCAGCAACACTGTAAAGTTTATCGTTCTTTACTTTCTAAGATTAGTGAAGCGCAATCATGACCATGGAGAAAAGAGTAGAAGAACAAGGAGTGCAATCTGTAGCTGATTGTGAACAATCAATTGGGAAAGCTCACTAATTTTGGAAAAGCTTTTGTATCAGTCACTCTATTGCACCACCCATCAACACCTTCCTCACACCCTCAGTGTCCTCAGGCCAAATCTATAGTTCCCTAGACTCTTGCCTCATATCCAATGCTTGCTGAGCACTAATTCCTGCGGTTTTAGAGAATAATTTCTACTTATTACAAAACTAATTGATGCTTATGGAAAAACATGAAATAATATGGAAGATATAAAGTAGAAGTTGAAGTCTTTTATTTCCTTCTGCTCACTTGCAGCCCTCTGAATTATCACTATTAATGTGCTGGAATGTGACCTTCCAGATCTTTTTATATGCATTTATATGCATGCATGTAAAATATTTGCATAAGGAAATGACAATGTAAAATTTCATCCTGTATTTTGTTTTGTTAATTAATATATCTTGGCGTTCTGTCCACCTTACTACATTCAGATGTACCACATTCTTTTTAACAAGAGCACAATAACCTATAGACAGGGCATCTTTAACCAAGGCCCTACTGATGGGCATTTAGGTGGTCTCCATTTGCCATGCTCTGACGAAAATGATGCTGCAATGAATGTGCCTGTACACCTTTTTTTGTACAAGGGGGGGGATGAACATGTGTTTATGTGCAATGATCACCGTTGTCTATTTTGTACACTTTTATAAGTCTTTTAATAGGATAGTTTTTTTGAATTATAGTATTTCCTTTTCCAATTTTAAGAAATTTAAAGCATAAGGCTTCTTAGGTTTGTGGTTTTTAGAGAGGTATTCTACTTTGTTAATTGCTTCAAAATAAAAATGGACAGAAGATGTTATTGCTATACAAAGAGACATGCCTACTTGTGAGGCATGTCCTGAGAACTTAAGTGAGATGTCACAGGGTGAAGGGAGGAGGATTGGGACTGCTATCTTCTCTCTCTACAACTATATGTCTGGGATTTTAAGGCTTGGGGAAGGATTTATATGGATATGTCGAAAGTACCCACCAAAAGGGTGGCGTGGGCTACCTTACAACCCCATAGAAGGTCCTCATCATTGAAGACAAGGGGTATCATGATCTATCTTACTAACGGAGGACATAAAGACATGGCAAGTCACCCTGCAAAGGTACCAACTTCTGAGCTAGATGAATGGCTGGGGCTATGGTTTCTTTGTGTACGTATCCTGGCCAGTTACTAGTTATACAGTGCACTTAAAAGGTTATAGGTTGGTGATGAAGTCATTCAAATTTCTGAGAAAGGAGGAAAAAACTGATGTTAGAAACCAGCCCTTTTTTGGATTTGCTGGGATAGTGGCCATGGGGAGAGGCAAGCTTGGCCTGATGTTGTGAAGTGTTGAATTATTTGAGCTATTCACACTTACTGCTTCTCTGTTGGCAGGTTGCCGGAAGATATCACCATCAGAATGTTCCCACGACAGTTCTCCATCCCCTGTTTATTAAAAAGAAATAAAGAAAGAATCACACATACACAGAAGGGAAAACTATCACCCTTGTGACCTAGCATTTTTGGTATTATGATCCTAAGTTTCTCAAGCCACATTAGTTCTGTGGCTGCCTTCAAAAAAATGACCCTCAAAGATTTCTCTGGGTGTGTCTCATTTTTCAAAACAACTCTGAAATGAGTTGCCACTTCCTAAATAGACTATTTAGCAACATTATCCAGAATTGGCAAAATAATCACTTTCCACCTTAATAAAGATATCATTGTCACTTTTATTTATTTTATTCCCATGATGGATAAGTATTTTGTACATATTTAACTTGTATTTAAACTACCCCTAGACAATGAGATTTAAGAATTCGGTCTGTATAATTTGTGAAATTCACCATTATACCTCTGAGAAGTTAGGACATGATCTGAAAGTTAAGGTAAAATTTGCTATGATTACAGTGTTTATGTAGCAAATATCTAAGATGCTCCCCTTTATTTTTGCCCGACTCACTTTTCTATAGGTCAGCGTGACCCATTCTTTGGACAGAGAAGCCTTTGTCATTGCTGACTGCATAAACGACTTAGCATCCTGAAACCTTCAAAATGTAGAGGACGTCAATCATGACTGTCTTAACTGTTAGAGTTGGACAATAGATGGGGAAAGCAAGGCTCAGAAAGAAGTAGCCATTTGCAGTCAAATAATGAGTTTGTCAGAGTTAACATCAAAAGCCCAGGTTTCCTGGCTCCCAAATAAGTGTGTCCATTCTGTAAGGGCAGGGTTCATTATTTGTGCTACTCATGACTGGATCATCATCATCTGTAACAGTGCCTGATGACAGTAGTCACAATAGACACCTGTCAAAAGATGGAATAAAGAGGCTTTCTCTGATGACTGTATCTCAACTTTCAAACCCCTTCTGATTTTTTTTTTTTTTTTTTTTAGGGACAGAGTCTCATTTTGTAACCCTCGGTAGAGTGCTATGGCATCACAGCTCACAGCAACTTCCAACTACTGGGCTTAGGCGATTCTCTTGCCTCAGCCTCCTGAGTAGCTGGGACTATAGGCGCTCACCACAACGCCCAGCTATTTTTTTGTTGCAGTTTTGCCAGGGCCGGGTTCGAACCTGCCACCCTCGGTCTATAGGGCTGGCACCCTACTCACTGAGCCACAGGTGCTGCCCCCCTTCTGATATTTTTTATCTCCCCCTTTTGATTGTCCTTCCTTCTTAGCACTTACTGTTATTTTACATCTTATGGTATTTTATTTCATTTATTGCCTGCTTTCCCCTATGAAAATCCCACGATAGCAAGGATTTTTGTCTACCATGTTCACTGATGTAACTCCAGCACCTAGAACAGTGTGGGGGGATATAGTTAGTACTCATTCAATATTTGTTGAATGAATTATAAAACACTGTACAATATTTAGTGCTCTCAAATATTTCCTAGACCAGCCTTATCTCTCTGGGAGACTGTAAATCCCTTGAAATGAAAGAGCACATCTTAGACTATCTCTGTGTTTCCTAGATCACTGCTTCTCAAAGTGTGCTCCCTGGACCAGCAGTAGTAGCATCATCTGAGAGGGACGGAGAGAGTGGGGTGGGTTGTTGAGGTAAATAGAGGTGGTAAATAATTGCTCCATGGACATCATAAAAAGGCTGAAGAATTTGTATTTGATCCTATTACCAATTTTTATGTAGGGGTTCTATGGTAAGAATGGTATTTGCGGAAGCTATCCTAGCAATGGAGTACAGCTTATTTGGGAGCAAATGGAATCGGACAGGCTGATCAGAAAGCTGCTCCAGTAATACTTGATAGGCTACAAGCATCTGCACAATAATGGAGAAGGAATGAATCAGAATACTGCAAATACAAAGAAAATGTTAGGACCCTGAAGTAAGATTTGATGATGAAGGAGGCAGGCAAAGGAGAACACAGTATACAGTGACTCTCAGGTTACAAACCTAGGGAGCTGCGGAATGGGACTGTCATTTAGAGTGACTTGAGGGGAGATGAACTTAGATTTACTTGTCCCATTTTAGCAGGCAGTAGTGGGTCTGAGCCAGATAAAATATGGGACCAGAGAGAAAATTAGAAAGCAGATAAGCGTCATCAGCAAATAGCAAAACAAAATGTCAAAGCTATAGGATGTGGTTTCAAGCCTAATCTAAGTCATCCAAAGAGAGAAAACGAATTACGAAAGAAAAATAATAGACTAGCTCCCTTCATCAAACGTTCTTCTTAAATGTAGATTTAATGATTGGTATTGACATGAAATGTTTACTGAGTATGGCCTTCTGAGAAGTTCAACTTCTTGCATTTAGACCCTAGAGTTTTTAAAGGGCTCTTAATTAAAGAGTGTCTTTAAATACTTATAGTCCAGTCAGAATCTTAAAACATCATAGAAGCATACAGTCCCTGTTATAAATGATCAGAGAGGTAACAGGGCAAAGCAATGAGGCAAGTCAGTATCAAGCATGGGAGCAGAAGATTAACCCCAGTAACACAAATTGAGATTAATGTGTCGCAATCTGTATTTGAAAACTTGAGCTCTTGCAGACAGGCACATGCACCTAAATGTGAACTATTTCACCTCATTAAAACCTAGGAGGGTCATTGCATATATATAGATACACACACACACACTATATATATATATATATATATACACACATACATACAGGGTGGACATAAAGTTTGTATGCAATTTAAATTACTATTTATATATGTGGGGGGGAGAGAGAGCACAGATTGAGTATCCCTAATCTGAAATGCTCTAAAATCCAAAACTTTGTGAGTGCCAACATGATGCTTCAATTAAGGAAATGCTCATTTTCAGATGAGATGTGCTCAACCAGTTCAGTATAGTGAAAAATCTGAAATAACCTGAAATCAAATAACCAGTATTCCAAAATCTGAAAAAACCTGAAATCTGAAACACTTTTGGTCCCTAGCACTTCGGATGGTATACTTAACCTGTATATAAATATAAACACACTCAACTACGTGTGTGTGTGCACATGCTATATATATATATATATATATATATATACAAAGTATATAAATTACACATAAATATATGCAGTTTATTACACACAGAGAACTGCTAGTATTTCTGTTGCCTTAGAGCTTTCAAAGTCGTCAAAATGGCATTCTTAAAGTTTCAGTATTCTATTAGGTAGCTGCTAAAGGTTTCAACATTTAGTTATTCTATTTAATTTAAACCATATTTAAATCAGAATTATCTTGTTAGATGCTGATATTTTCTATGGCTATAAGTGGTTCTCTAGGCCTAGGTATGATCTGTCTAGATAGCTGAAAGTAAGTATTTCTGTTTACAGCCTTAGATATTATATCTTGGAAAAAGTCAGCACCAATACCCTCAAAAAACCCCATTTCTTTGCTTCCCCCCACCCGATTCACTGGACTAATTATCTTGAGTGAGATGGAGCCTCTTTCATTCAGCCAAGGTTTTTGTAAAAAACAGTGATTCTAATGGAGACAGATGGATTCTAGTTAATTCCGAGAAGCAACAAGATGTAATTTTAACCAATTTTTTAAACCAAAATGAAAAACAACTCTAGTGTACTGTATGTCAAACAATATTCATTTAATCTTAAAAGCCACATGTGTTGTTTATTCAAACCTCAATTATACTCTGAGTGGTACCCTATGGAGCTGGAATGGCTTGGCTTTCTGGTAATGGGAGAAATGGTGAACAAGTATTTGAAAAATGGTCAAAAGCTAGGCTGAAATTCAGACTGTTTATAACTCCCATGGCTTCCATTAATCTCTGGTTGGCTTGAGCAGGTCAGGAAAGTAAACCCTGTCCTCTCAAGAGGATGAAACGTACAAGGAGATTCTAAGATACCCATGAAGATAAGCCACCAACAGCAAAACTCTATCAGCATGTGGTTGCTTCTGAACCGCGAAAGGCATCGTAAGTAGGGTGACCATAGGGCCCATTTATCGCAGACAACCTAGTTTTTTTTTTTTATTATTACCGTTTATTACCTATTTTTCTGGCAGCCATAATTGTTTAGATTGCCTCTTCACTTTCAAGGGTACCTTCGTTAGGACTGTAAATTATACAGTCAGTCTAATCATAAGGCAAATGGAAATGAAATGAGACAGGGGAAGTGATCTCTGTATTTTCAGAGGAACATGTTGAAAGTGGCAGAATCAGGGCAAAGTGGAAGAGGGCAGGGAGGAAGAAACCCATAGTGAAATCTCCACTTACCATGTGCCAGGTTCCATGGTGGAGCACTTATTGCCAGTACTCTGTAACCACGCTGGAGACGAAGGAGCAGGTAGAAGCAGATGACCTTAAGGCAGTGGCTTTCAACCTTCCTAATGCTGCAACCCTTTAATACAGTTCCTCATGTTGTGGTGACCCCCAACCATAAAATTATTTATGTTGCTACTTCTTAACTGTAATTTTGCTACTGTTATGAATCCTAATGTAAATACCTGATATGCAGGATGTATTTTCACTGTTACAAAGGGGTTGCGACCCACAGGTTGAGAACCACTGCTTTAAGGGGCCCTTTAATTCTACAAATTCTGCTGGAAGGGAGCAAGTAGGCTGAAATTGAGGAAAGGTTTAAGGACCACTGCAATAGGGATTCCGCATTGATAGATCTTTGAGCTTCCAATAATGGTATATGGTTCTACAAGAAGTCTTCTGCTCTTACAAAGTGCACAGTCACATTAAAAAAATACTTTATTGTCACATAAAGCACTTTATTGTTTGGACTGTCAATATAAGCTCTTAGCATTTTAAATAAAATACGTGCTTGAGGCTC